TTGTTTCATTGGTTTCGTGTGAATTGTTTTGACTCAATGGCCAATCAGGGCCAAGCTGTGTCAGGACTCTGGAAGGAGTCAGGAGTATTTCATTATTACCTTTTTAGCCTTCTGTAAGTATCCTTGCTGTATTCTTGAGTAAAGTTTAGTATAGTTTTAGTATAGCCTTCTTTAATATAATATAGTACCATAAAATAATAAATTAGCCTTCTAAGAACATGGAGTCCGATGCATCATTCCTTCCTTCTGCCACGGGGCACCTCACAAATACAAGACCTGCCACTCCAGGAGGGCTGCAGCCAGTTCCAACTGGACTGCTACCAGCACCCTGACCAACAGGGTGTCGTGTTCTGATTCTGTCAGTGTTGTTTTGGTTTACTGCATTGTTTATTTTATCTTTCTTTGTTTCTTCTCTAGTAAAGAACTGTTATTCCTGCTCCCATATTTTTGCCCAAGAGCTCCTTAATTTCAAATTCATAACAATTTGGAGTGAGGGGGGGTTTACATTTTTCATTTCAGGAGAGGCTCCTGCCTTCCTTAGCAGACACCTGGCTTTCCAAACCAAGACAGTGCCTCACAGCCCCTCACCCTAAGGTGTTCCACCCCTCCTCACCCTGTCAGCAGCATCACTCCCCCTCCACGTCCTGCCCCTGCTCCCAGCTCAGCTCTCTCTGCTCTCTCATTCCCCGCTGGACCTTGACAAGCAGCAGCTCGTGTAAAAGCTGCAGGTCCCTTTGTGTACCCGAGTCAAACATTTACTTACTACGGCTGTTTCAGCAGGAATAATTAAATTAAACACGAAGGGATTAGAGCTGGAGGTGCAAATCACAGCACATCACTAATTTATGCCATTCCCCGCCTCCGGCTGCACACGGGAGTTTGGGGAGTGGAATTGTATCATTGGAAATGGAGCTGGGATTCCTGAGGAGCAGGAAGATGATGCAGGCCTCTGTCCCTGCACCCAAAGTCACAAATTAAACGAGGTCGGGTTAGGTCAGTAGCTGAATGCAAGGAATGTTGTGTACATGGTTCACTTTGGCAGATTTTAAGAAGGGACATGGATTTATTTTTTTTTTTCCTGCAAAAATAATGCAATTTTGAATATGTAAAACATTATTTCTCAAACATTAAAATAATCCAATTACGTTTTTCAGTGAAAATGTACTTAAGTGAACTCTTTAGAAGGACGGCCTCAAATCCACTCTATTACAAACCTTTGAAAAAAGTCTCTGTTTGCTCAGCCAGAGCATGTGCAAATTCAATTCTGCTTTTTCAGGCTGGATCTCCTATGTGCAGCGTATGTCTAAGTCTTGTGACAATATTTGTAGATATTCCTGGGAATATATTGCTGTCATGAACTAATGAATTGAAGTCCAGTAAAAAAAAAACCTCAAGCAAAATAGATCAGAAATGTAAGCAAGATAAAAGATAAAGCCAGTAAGGGAGACTTTTCTCTTTATGTTTTTTTTTTTTTTGTTCATAACTGCTTGTGTTTGAAAATCCATCTGACAGTTTTTAGTTATTTCACATTTCTCTTTGAAGTGATAAGAGAATAGCCCTGTACTTCCAGGTCCTAGAAGGACCCTGGCAGCCATCCTCAGGCACACACTGGGGCAGAAATCACTTCAGTTTGGCTCTTGTTCTTCCCGAAGGTATCAGCTGTGGTTAAACTTGTCTTTTTCTTTCAATTCCCTCACTATTTCCTAAGTCATTTTTGAGAAGGGGAGAAAATTCAACAGTTTTCAAATTCAGATATTAAAAGACCAAGTGCTGGGTCCTGCCCTTGGGTCACAACAACCCCAGGGAGCTCCAGGCTGGGAGTTTCTCCCAGAAAGGTGCCCAAACCCTGGCACAGCTGCCCAGCGCAGAGCTGGAGTCCCCATCCCTGGGGAATTGGAAAGCTGTGCAGATGTGGCACTTGGGGACCGGGATCAGTGCTGGGCTCAGCAGTGCTGGATAAAGGTTGGACTCGATGACCTTCAATGTCACTTCCAACCTAAATGATTCTATGATTCTCCTGATTTGAACTGGAAAAGGAAGCAGCCCCCTGACACAACTAAACCCCAAAATGTTTGTACATTCACAACCAGAAAGACAGGAGAACACACAAAACTGTGGTAGCAAAATTCTTTACTAATAAAATATCAAACATGGAACTGTTGGCTCATGTTTTATGCAAATAATACAAACATTGTCACGCCTTTGAAATGAGCATTGCATTGTCACCTGCACACATCCGTGAGGAGCAGCATTCCTGTCACACCCAGCACACACCAGGAGCCCTTTTGTCCCCTTCCACTCTGAAATAAGGCAAAACTTCCATTGCAAAACTCCACTTCTGTATTTTCAGAAGTGCCTGGGAGGGTTGTGCCTCCTCAATAAGTCTGAGTCAGAGGAGCTGTGAGACCAAATCCTTCGTGCACAGATTTGAAAATCCTAATTTACACTGAGAATGTGTTAGTTGATGAATTAGGGTTGTGGGGGGAAAAAAAAAGGTATTAATTTTTATGCATCCAAAAACTGATCTTGGAAGAAATAGAGTGTGCTGAAATGCAACCAACCTAAGACACTGCCAGCTCTGCTGATTTCTGTACTCCTTCCTACTTAGAAGCAGTGGAGTAACTTTTAGATGACCTTTTCAAAGCTATTCATTAAAAAAAAATTAATGAACTTCTAACCCTGAATGCTTAAAAACATTGGGGTAGTGCTCAGCTTCTGCAGACAAACTGCCCCCAAATTGCCTGAATTCTTTTATCAGCCTATACAAAATTTAAAAAAAAAAAAGTAAATGTACACTGCAGTTTTGTGTTTACAGTTCTATTTGCATTTCTGAGTCTTTTATGATGGCCTTTCATAGGAAAATGAATCTAATTTTGCAAAAGGCCACTAATACTATTTTGATTGTTTTAAAATTCATGACCTGAGGCCTCAGCTGCAAAAGCTAATTTAATTTAGCTGATACATATAAACTCACTAGCACAGTGGTTTTGTTTAAACAAATGGATTTGCCTTACATGCAATCATCTGCTTTTTCTTAAATCACATTTTCCAGCAGGGTAACTTTATGTTTTAAGTAATTAATTACTCAATTAATATATTCTTATGCAAAGCAGCCTAGGGAGCTGGGGAAGGGTTTAGTCTGGAGAAAAGGAGCTCAGGGGGGATTTCATTGCACTCTGTAACTCCCTGGCAGGAGGATGTAGTGAGATGGGCCTTGGTCTCTTCTCCCATGTGAAAAGCAACAGGACAAGAAGAAATGGCTTCAAGTTGCACTAGGGGAGGTTTAGATTGCGTTTATGAAAAATTTCTCCACAGAAAGGGTGGTAAAGCACAGGAACAGGCAGCCCAAGGAAGTTGTGGAGTCACTGTCCCTGAAAGTGTCAAAAAAAGGTGTAGATGTGGTGCTTAGGGACACCTTTTGGGGTTAATGGTTGGACTCAAGGAAGTGGTGGATGCACTGTCCCTGAAAGTGTCAAAAAAAAAGGTGTAGATGTGGTGGTTAGGGACACCTTTTGGGGTTAATGGTTGGACTCGGGGAACTTGCAGTTCTCTTCCAACCTAAACAATTCTATGATCCTGTGAATTACAAGATCAGTTTCTCATTCACACAAAGAAAATCATTACGTTGAGGAAAATTCTGTGCAGCAACTGAAAGCATTCACTTGGGAAACCACTCTGCAAAGAGGAGCAGAAAAATCCCTGAAAATCTGAATCCCTGACATTTCAACCCAAACTCATCTGCTCCTCAGCAGAGCTCCAGCAGTGACAAATTAAATGCTCATGGACAGTCAGGCCATTGGAGACTGGTGTGGGGACAAAACATCCTGAAGGCAGCAACAGAGACGTCTTGCACAGGTCACTTGGAATGACAATTCCACCTCCCTGGAAACGGGTCAGGATGGTTTCAGGACCTTGTGCCAGGTCCTTGTTCCCAATCCATCAGAGATGGGTTTCACGGAGCCACAGAATGGTTGGGGTTGGGTTGGAGAACATCCATTCCCACCCCCTTGCCACAGGCAGGGACATCTTCCACTGGAATTTAACCCCAAAAATACAGAGGTGCAGTCTGCAGAAGAACAGTCAGCAGCTGGATTCAAGTCATTTGGAACACTCCTGGACTCAAATAAAAGCCCCAGCCAAGAGGTTGAGCAGGACTTGGGTCACCCTCAAGGGTGACTTTTTTAATGCTGATGCAAAGCCACAAACTGCTGGCAGCAGGCACAGAGGTGGAAGTGAGACCTGCAATTGCCTGCAGGATTATTTCATTATTATATTATTATTTTTATGATTGTACTATTATCTCTGAGAACAAGAAGAGAACATCAGGCTGATGATGCTGTCCCAGCTCTCAGAGCTCTGCCCCTCCAGACAAGGAGCTAGCAATGACCAGGACACATTCCTTTCTGCTCACCATTTTTCCATAAATTAAAGGAATAACCAGCTTGCACCTTGGGCACAACAGCAATGAATGACACAAGATATTTCTGCATATTGCATGGAAAGAATAGTGATTAAAAAGATGTTGGCTTGGCTTTATCAGTCTGACCCATCACACCTTCTGAAGGCAGCAAAAGTATTCAAAAATAGCTGAATTTTAAGCAAAATTCAGCTATTTAAATATTTTAATTCTTTAAATAAAATATTAAAAGTTCATTAAAGAAGCTTAAAATGAAAAAGACCATTCTTCTGACAAACAAATAAACATTGTTTCTTTCATCATCAATGGTCAAAAATAAGTGCATGATATTGGGTTACACCAGAGGAAAATAAATAATATATTATGACCATTATTTAACACTGCCAGGATCTTCCTGCTGGAAATATTTACCCTGCTCTTCAGACACAGGCAAGTAAAAAGAGGTGCTGGGGAAAAGGAAGGAAGGAAGGAAGGACGGAAGGAAGGTAGGAAGGAAGGAAGGACGGAAGGAAGGTAGGAAGGAAGGAAGGACGGAAGGAAGGTAGGAAGGAAGGAAGGACGGAAGGAAGGTAGGAAGGAAGGAAGGACGGAAGGAAGGTAGGAAGGAAGGAAGGAAGGAAGGTCCTTCTTTTCAATGAAAAGAAAAGCAATAAAAATAAATAACTCCAAAACAATAAAATCTGTTTTCCTGTCTCATTTCCGTGCTTTTACCATGCTGGATGTTGGATCCCCTCAACTCCCCTTGGGAACAGCTCCACTTTCCCTGCTTTTTTGGAAAAAGCCCTTCCTACAGACATTACAGGCATTCCCTGCTGATAACACTGGCCTTGCCTGTGCCTGCAGGAAAATCAAACAGGACCATTGCATAAGGGAGGATTTCTGAGCTCCTTTCTGCCTCCTCAGAGCCCTGAAGGAGGGCTGTAAAGACCCCTCTTCTTATCTCTGAAACTCATAATGATCCCAGAGATTCCATGAGTCTTTGCTTGGGAATGAAATAAGAAATAGGGCTCCCAGCCTGAATGATTATTTGAGCACATTTTCCATTAGGTTTTGTTTAAAAAAAAATTAAAAAGAGAAAAATCCTCCTGTCTTCTCCCTCACACACTCAGTTTCTCTTTGGAAAAAAATGTCTAAATCACTGTAAGTGACTCTAGTTTAGCCTTGGCAAACCCTTCACAGTAGCTCTCAGGCAATCAAAGTGAGACACAAATATAAAAGATGTCTCCAGGGTCTCTTTTAATAGGAAGAGCAGGACACCCTGCGCTGGCTCCACCACGGATTATTTTCAGCAGGAAGCACACACAAGGAAACAGCTGCAGCAGCTTTTACACCTCCACCAGGTGACCTGCAGTGCCCAAGCTTGTCCTGAGAGAATTGCATGGGCAAATTCTACCATCTCTGAAAAAAAAAAAAAAATGGTGTAGACTGAAGGAGGGATCTGTGCCAGGATGCAGCTCAGCCCACTCAGAGCTGGCTGCAAGGGCAGGGCTGCAGCTTCCTATGCCAGGAGGGAGCATCCTGACAGCTACAAATATCATCCCTTAAGTGCCTGCACAGATGGGTGCAGTAATTTATCAAGGGCGACCAGGAAGATGGTGCAGATTTTATTCCCTGAACAAAAGTGCTTTGACTTTTTTGTTTGGCACAGCAGAAATGTTCCCAGGCCTCTGGCAGCAAGATTTGGAGGGTGGGTTAGCAGGCCTGAATATTTCATGGGAAAAAAAAAAAAAAAAGTAACTTGTATAGAGAAGGGATGCACAGAGGTGGGAGTGAATGGGAGAGAAGGAGGTTTGTATGTTCTTGAGCAGAAATAGGGAATTTTTAGTGGATAAGCACTAAAAGGGGCTGCCCAGGGAGGTGTTCAAGGAATGACTGGACGTGGCACTCAGTGCTCTAGTTTAGTTCACCAGGTGGTGTTTAGTCAAAGGTTTGACTCAATGATCTTGGAGATCTTTTCCAACCTTAACAATTCTCTGATTCTGTGATTAAAATAACCATTTCTAAAACCTTTAACGTGATGGAGCTGGAGTTAATTGGGAGTTTGCTGGAGTGGGGAGCAGCCCTGTAAAAGCAGAGAATTTCAGTCTGTTAAGTGGAGCAGGGTAGGTGCTAGAGCACTCCTCCTTGAGTTGCTGCCACTAAGTGGTTCCAGTAGCTCAGCTGCTCGGATGGTTTTACTCCATGGCACGTCACGATTTTCCTAAAGCGAGGAACAGAGAACCTGATCCTTTCTGGGAAAAACGTCTGCTCCGAGTGAAGCTCCTCCAGCTGAATTTTTAATTTGTCAAGGCACAGCCCTATGAACACATCCTCCAGTTTAATGAATGGAACACTCTCAGAAATGTTATAGATCTGGCTGGCTACGTCGCTGGATAAAACATATCCAGTCCCGGAACAAAAGGGTGGGTAGGTGGTTCCTGGATACTCTTCCCTACTCACATACCACTTACTCCCTCTTGTCCTGATGGGGTACTCGTGCAGTTTTAAAAAGCCTGTGAAGAATCCAGTGCTCTTCTTTTTCCTCAGGAGCAGCTCAGTGAGGTAAAAAACGTTGACAAACACGTCCGTGTCGGTTTTCATGGCGAAGCTGGACTGGGAGCAAAACCTGTGGATCCACTCGATTCCCATCATGGTCTTCAGGGTCAGGTTGTAATAGGTGTCTGTAAAGTTCTTCTGGATGATGTCTCTGTACCTCTGGCTCTCGGCAGCGATGTCAGCCTGCTGGCTGGGATCCACAGGGCTCCCCAGCAGGAACAAGGTCACCAGGCGCTTCCCAGCCACTGTCCTCTCCTTGCCCCAGCTGTGCCGGATGGCCATCCTGGCATCCAGCTGCTGGAAAGAGCACGCCACCAGCAGGACGAGGAAAGGAGGGTTCTTGTGGCAGTCAACATCTGGGAGCTGGGAGAAGTTCCCTTCCATCCTCCTGAAAGTCTCCGTAGGGAACAGGTATCCCTGGCTGCTCTCACAGAGCACGCAGAATTCGGTCCAGGTGTGGAAAACCCAGAGGCTGGCACTGCTGAGCCCCACCAGGCAGAAAAACAGCCTGAACTTTCTGGAATCCATCTGAAAGGAACAAGAAGGAGCAGCACATCCATAAAAATAATCTCTGGCTCCTGTCAGCATTCCTCTGCCAAGTCCCTGCACAGGGATTTAAAGCCAGGTCCGCTCTAAAAGGAAGGTGCCTGTTTGAGGGCACTCAGCCACCTGCATTTCTCCTCCTGACACCCCCAGGAGATGTTCTGCTGGCAGATTCACACTTGGGCTTAACTTGAATCTGCCTTTCAGGCCAGTGTGTCCTCAGAAATCCGCACAAGCATGTCCACTGACACCAGGTTACCCAGGCTGATCCTTCAAGCTCCCTCCCCATTTTCAGCATCCTACAAACCAAGTTTAGACCCACCAGGGTCAGAGAAGGAGCAGATTTATGTATCCATCTCAGAGGACAGAGAATAATGATGATAGTCATTTGGTTTGTTTGTTTTTGTTTGGTTTTGGGTTTGTTTTTGTTTAAATACCATGTTTCTCCATTTGTGCCTGTGTCCCAGAGCCAGCAGGTGTCCCAGGGGCACACTCAGCCAGGTTCCTCTCATCTTCATCACCTTTGTCTCCTGTGGAGCTCTTGCACCAATCCAGAAACTGCTCCTGATCCTTTTGCTGGAGGGGCCATGAGTCACATTTTTGAAGTTGGGACAGCTGCTCTGAAAAAAAGAAAAGAACCAAAAACAGCAGTGGGTCACATTATTTGGATGTTTCAGCTTCTGCAGAGTTTGAGTGACTCACAAGGACATGCTGAGGTGAGAAGGGGCTTCTCCCATTCCCCTTCCCTTTTTAAGTGAGAAAGATCCAAACAACAACAATGCTCACTCATTTAACCTCGTAAGAGATTAATGAGCTGGACATCTGGTTATAAATCTAATAGAAATTTTGAGTGAGAGAAAAATTATCAAAACAAACCCCGAATCTTTACAGTGCCAAAAATATTACACATCTCCATAAATTAATCTGGTGAGAGGAGTTTAAGGCTTGAGTTGCTCATTCCAGTAACCACAGGCTCTCCTACTGCTATTTTAGAGCACAAGCACGGGGCAGTTTTTACCAGGGAAAGCGCAACCCTTCCACCTTCCCCCTTCTTAACCAGGAATTGTATCTGGCCCCCCAGATACAAACCAAGCTAACCATGCCCAGAGCTGCAGATTTCATGGAAATTACATCTCTGCCTTCTGACCAGGAATGTTCTGTGTAGACTCCCCCAAATCACCTCAGTGCCTTCCTTTTGCTCAAATTCCCCTTTCCAGGCAATCAAAGGTTTTGCACTGCAGGATTGAAGCTCACTTGAAAGTCCAGCCAGGTGTCCCTGGAACCAAATCCTGCTCATTTTACCCCCAGGAATAGTCCCATTGACTTCAGTGGGGATTCTCAAAAGCATGAAAAAGGAGAACTGGAGTCTTGGTTTACTGGAATGGCTCCCATAGTGAAGTGCATTTTTGCAATGATTCACTAATGAATTTTGACAATATTTCACAAGTTCACATTTCTTCTGGCACTTATATTTTAATTCACTTTATCCTTAAATTGAGTATTCCTCAGATCTGATTTTTTCTTGTATTTATATCTTACAGTAATCTTGTAATTAACTTTACAACTGCTTTAGCTAAATACATACGTAAAAATGTGTGAGATTGTGCCTATGCAGTTATATTACATGTATATACAAAAAGGTTAACCAAAAATCTGCTCTGCATCTGTTCTCACATTCTTCAGTGGCCTGGGAGGAAGCACATGAATGACCTGAATTGTGTTTGCAGGACAGGAAGGTGTTCTGAGGTTGACAGTGGAGATGTACAGAGGTTTTTTTCCTGTCACCTGCTCACAGAAGACTGTCTGAGAGTCTGATATTTCTCTGTTACAGAAAATCCAGAACATGTACAAAACAAACACTGAAATAAGGAAACAATGGAGAGCAATATTCTGTTAAAACCCATTAAAACCTTTCCACAAATATCCAAGTGCAAGGTGCCATAATACACAACAACCATTTTACAAGATTTCAGTAGAATCAGACCAATGTAACATGACCATTACTTACTTTTGTTTCCAGCATTGGTAACAGATCTTTAAAAAAACTTTAAAATCTCCTTGTTTTGGACAGCTGGGTGAGCAGCCTCCCACCTTTACCATTTTTTTCTTTCCAGAACCAGACTGCCTTCCCCTTTCAGGCCATGTGTGAAGGAGCACAGCTTGTACACACACAAAAACACACAGACACACACAGCTGGGCAATGCAACTGCTGGCAAATGCATGCAAATTGCAAACATTGCATTTTAGAAGTTTTGCAAGTGGCACACGTGCCCATGTAGCCTCTCCCAGCAGGTCCCTGTGTAGGGACCAAGGGGTGGGAAGTGGCCTTGATAGGAAGAACCATGGAACCATGGAATGGTTTGGATTGAAAAGGACCTTAAAGCCCATCCAGTGCCACCCCTGCCATGGCAGGGACACCTTCCACTGTCCCAGGCTGCTCCAAGCCCCAGTGTCCAACCTAAAATTCACTGAGAGAACTCCAAGGGAAAGGGGTGACAGAGAACACAAGCTGCTTCCCCTTGCCAAGGCCATTTTTCTTCAAAAACCATCCATTCAATCCTTGTTTCCAGATGAACAGGGATGTTTCTGTACACTGAAATTGTTTCTGAACACTAAAACCATTTCATATTGATGCAGTCAGGGAAGTTCCTTGGAGCACTGAAGTTTCTCTGTCAGGGAATTAAATCACCTTGGTATTGTCTCCTCACCCCTGAGATGCTGAGCCTCCCTCCCATCCCCATTTTGCATCAAAACAAATATTTCTGGTTTTATAGAAAGTCCTTTTGCATGATGAAATATTTAATTTTTCTCTGTGCTCTCAGTCAGAAATCATAGTTTTCAATTATCACAACGCTATTTCCCATCTCTTATTGTTCCAACTGCAAAATATTTTGTGAAGGGCATTGCCAAAAATTGCCTGTTTCATATCCTAGAGACTTTTCTTAAGCTGACTGGCACTCCATGGCTCTCTGCAGCTGTGGCTTGCAAGGAATCCTGGCACCAAACCATGTGGGAGCTGCAGCCTCTTCTCACACTCACCTGAAATGAGCACCAAAAAAAAAGACTGCTCTCTCCCAGCAGCTTAAGGGGAGCTGAGATTTTTTTATTCTCTTTGTTATTTATCAAATCCTTCCTTTTTCTTGAGACTGTCTCTTTTAGGCAAGTCACAATACTTCATTTTTCAGCAGAAAGTGTTACAGCAAGCAAACACAAGCAAATAAACACTCTGCAGTGGTCACAAATGACTGCCACAAATGCATCCTGTAGCAGCCCACAGCTTGGTAGCCATGAGTGAAGCCAACCTCATCAAAGAGTTTTCTTCTTTCTGCCACTCTTCTATTGCTTTTTCTATCCATTTTTGTCTGCTGGGCTTCAAGCTCATCCCTGATGGAAGTGCAACCTTCTTGTCCTATAATAGCACATTTTTTCCTTAAGGCCACGTGGTTCTGTGGAGCCTCAACATTCCTTGAGAACATATCCAGAAATGAGTTACATTTAACATTTTGTCTACTTGAAATTTTCATAGGAATTTTCCTGCCTAATCCCTCTGTGAAACTCCAAAGGTGTATTTGGCAAACAAAGATTTTGGTGAATTGTTGAGATACCTCTTACAGACATGAGCAACACTTCAGTTGCAAGGCTCTTCGTTCTTTTTCCTCTATTTTATTCTGGGCTGGGGGTAATAATTTAAGTTTAATAGTGTAATTCATTCTTTCATGGCTTGTGACCAGCATGGGGTGTGTAAATCTAACTGGATTCCCAAGGCCTTGCTAACTTGTCCCACAATTCCTGCTGTAAAACGAGACCCTCCATCTGTTGGCATTCCTAGAGGAGCTCCAAAGCATGGAAATATTTGATTTAGAAATATTTCCACTGCTTCTTTTGCCACGTTGGTGCAACAGGGAAATGCTTCAGGCCACCCAGAGCAGGGATCCACTAAAAGAAATTTACAGCTCTCTCTGCATGGAAGTTCTGCAAAGTCAATTTTGCCAATAATCTCCTGAGATTTCTGAGAGAATTTCTGAGAATCAGAGAGTTTCTACATTTGACAGCCTCTATCCCTACTTTATTCCCTCAGAAACTATTCCTTGTCCAGCAGGGGTGAGCACCCGTCCACCGGGGTGAAATTTAGAATATAATGCCCTGATTAACAGAATTTTTGTGCTGTATTCTGGTTTAATATCTGGCCCTGCAGCTCTGTAGCTGTGACTGCTCACAAAGAGCTGGGCCAGCCTTGGCATGAGGGAATAATTCAAAAGATTTCCCAGGATCTAGGCAGCCCAAAGCTGGAGACCTCATTAGGACTTTTTAAGTAGTTTGAAAGCAGCCTGAGTATCATTTGGCCATATAATAAAGTATTTTTGTATTTAAAAGTATTTGTGGCTATAAACTATAGATGGCTATTACTATATAAAATATTTAAGAGTACATACAAAGGGTGGACCAATAATCCAAAATTCCTTTAAATCTATTACAGTGAGCCATTCCAAATTTATTTATTTATTTGTTTACTTTTTTTTTCTTTTTTAAGTGTGATTATAAGTGTTTTGAGTAACTTAGCAATTTTAGGGTTAGTTAGCAATTTTATTAATTGCTCCTGAGTCTTGTACTAGCTGATAATCTTTACTTTTAACATTTTTGTCTGGTAAAATTGGAGTTCACCAACAACCTGTACCTTAAAACTTTCTTAATCTTAGGTCATGAGCCTTTTCAATGTTTTAATTTTAAAGGATATTGGTTTTGTCTTACCAGGCCTGTGTCTGATTTAATTTGGTTCTCACAGATTCTGCTCTTTTTGATTTTCCAGGAATCTCCCTGGCCCACACAAAGGGGATTACTGCATCCTTAATTCTCTTTGGGATAGGTTCAGATTGGGAAGCCAGTGTAATATAAAAATTGAAGCTTACATGGGTTTAGACTCAGGGATTTTAATTTGAATGTCTCCTTCCTGAAACTGGAATTTTGCACTCAATTTTCCCAATAAGTTTTTTTTTTTTTCCTTAATAACAGTTTTGGAGAGTTAGACAGGTACAAAATTGATGGGTTATTTATAATTTTTCTAGCTTGAACTTCAGTGGTTTGAAAAAAGAGCACAGTTCACGAGTTCCAGTGGCACCAGCAATTGTGAGGGAGGCATCCCTAAACTTCCCTTGCATTTAATACTGAATAATTGGTATTTAATACTGAATAATTGGTTCCTGTGCCTACTAAAATGTGCAGGTTTTTATTTCTTGGTGTGGCTGTCACCAGAGGCTCTGCTGTTGCCATGAGAGCCTTTGGAGGAGTCCTGGGTTTTACCTGAGGATACTCCTGCTTCCAGTATTTATATTTATTTTGTAATTTGTGTATTGATTAATTCCCAATCTTCCTAGTGAAGATGGAGGATCTGAAGCCCTTCCCTTGTTACAAGACTCCTCCCTGGGGGTAAGAAATTTTTGCTGTTTTCTTTTATAATTACTATCATTTTCTGTTTAGTTTTTTCCTGTTTTTCTTTTCTTTTCTTTTTTTTTTTTTTTTTTTTTTTTTTTTTTTTTTTTTTTTTTTCAGATTTGCACATTTTGATACACTGCCCATGCAACATCAAGTAGTTTACCTGTATTAAAACCATCCATTTCTGGGATTTTTGGTAGTTTTATTATAATATCATCTGATGATTGTCCTATGAAAATAGGAGCCAGGCAACTTTTGCCTTCCTCCCAAATGTTTTCTTATCTTTATTTCTCTCTTATCTATGCCTGCAGCTGGCCTTTTCAGTTCTCTATGCACAGGACTTTGCAGCTAAGTCTTAAACTTCCTTTTTTCATTGACAATCTAAATGCTGGTAGCTCTTCCACCAAAATATTAGAAAACCAGGTTTCAAAATCTCTGTTTTAAAGTACCACAATGCCAAGTTTTCAAATACCAAAGTAACACATATTTAAAATATTCAAACACTAAGTTCCACAACACCAAAGCAACCCAGTTTCAAAATATTAGAATACCAAGTTCCAAAATATTAAAACAATTCTGCCTCAAAACATCAAGAACAGAACCAGAACATCAAGCTTCAAAATATCAAAGTAACCCAAGACCTTCAAGACATTAAATTCTAAAACACCCAATTCCAAAATACCAATTTTCAGGTGTCTTATGTGGGCAGGACCCCCAGACTCAAGAGGATGCCTCAATGTCACAGTGGGACCCTACCTGTGTCCCAAATCAGTCCGGGGGAATCTGTGGTTTTCTCCAGGAAAGTGCCAGCATGGAAAATCCCAGAGCCTCAGAGGAGACCAGGCACTTGTCTCATGTGGGTTCACCAGAAATGGCACCAAAATTGGCAGGAATAAACTTTTCTGACTTTCTTTCTGTTGCTCCTTTTGGCACAATTTGCCAAAAAACCACTGGAGGCTTCTTTATCCGCTCCTGCACGGGTCCCAGACAGGTTTATCACCCCTGGGCACGCCTCGACATCATCTTAGCTTTTTGTTTGCCAGTTAAGTCTTCAGGCTCTACACAGCAGCTTCAGGGGAGGTGGAAATGTTTGTTGTCTATGTCATTTATCACTGGGATCCTATGAAGAAGGTGGCCAAGGTCTGGGATCCCAATCCCAAGCAGCAGCACTCCCGATTTCACAAGTCCCTATTTCCACAAACTCCGTCCTCCACCCTGCCATGGTTTGGCTTTAGGGTCCCTCTGTCCACACCTCTGACCCTGCTGGAGCTCCTTTCTGCTTCCCAGAGATCAAGCCGTGGTAGCTCCTGTGCCAAAACCTAATTACCGCATCAGAATTAACCTGACATCTCCTTTAATGAGTGTAATTGTCTGCACAGCGCCAGGAGGTGAGGGCTGTGTGCCAGACAGCTCAGGGAAAGCAGCCTGTCCTCAGGCAGAGGCAGGGAAGTAGGTCTGGAGTCCCCCCGAGGAGCAGGATGGAAATATCAACTTTAAAAAGAAACTTTTCTTACCTTTTCTGGGCCAAAGCTGCAGTCGGGTTCAGCGGGTGGCTGCTGGTGTTTTGCACCGAGGTCACACACACCAGCCAGGCAAAAAACCCCAAACCACAAATGATCAAAGCGCTTTGCACCACCTGCAAAAGTCCTTGCTTTGAAACAAGACTCAAACAGCTGCAGCCCCAAAACCAGAGGCACGACTTAAGAGCGGGAGCAGGAGCTCCAAACTCAGATCCTGCACAGTTAAAATCTGCAGTGCTGCTCCCTTTGCCTTTCCTAATCACTGAATGTGACATATGCCCTGGTATAAGGACTGGTAAAAGCTGCTAACTCCCAGTTTTCTTTGGAATAAAGCCCCTGAATTGCTTTTTCATAAGCTCAGCATGACACAGAGAAGGATTAAGCACACATAGATAATAAGAAAATGTCAAGAACAGCGGGAAACATTTAATTTTTTTTTTTTTCCTAAATGCAAGAGTTTCAGAGGAGCAGGGCCCAGTCTGGAGCTCTCCAAAATTACATTTCTGCTGATGCACTGGGTTCAGGAGTGCCTGGCTCACCAGTTTCTTGGATTAACATTGTGCTCACCCAAACTGGCAGTCAAAAAAAAAAAAAAGCAGGACAAAGGAAAAAACTTTTTGTGCTGTACTTTGTGAACTTTTTTCCCTTTGGTTCCTCTCACCAGCCTCTGCTCTCAGGATGGTGTCACCTTGCCAGTCCATCAGCAAGACAGAGCAAGGCACTGTTCCTCTTCTCCAAACACACCATTTTCTATCACTTCAGCACTCAGTTGCTGGGTTCATCATCTACAGGCAAATCCTCTCCCTTTTTTTTCCTCTCTCTCTCTCTTTTTTTTTTTTTCTGGGGGATTTTTTGTTTTGTTTTGTTTCATTGTTGCTGGTTTTGTGGGGTTTTTTTTTTTTTTTTTTTTTCTGGTGGATTTTTTGTTTTGTTTTGTTTCATTGTTGCTGGTTTTGTGGGGTTTTTTTTTGTTGTTTTGTTTTGGTTGGTTGGGCTTTTTTTTGGGTGTTTGTTTATTTGTTGTGGTTTTGGTTTTGTTTTAATAACAGTTTGGAAGAGTTAGACAGATACAAAAATTACAATTTGATTCTTTTTTCTCTTTGGTTTTTCTCTCAGAGAGCAGATAGAAAAGGAGCATTACTGTTATGGATTTGCAAATCCCACTACGTGGCCTGGCTTATGCTCTGTCTTTATGTTACTAATACCCATTTAGCTGATTGACCCTGTGACTCCAGCAGCAGATTGAATTTTCTTTGTAGGTTGGGCTGATTTTTATTTACTACTTTAGGTATAATAAGGAGAGAATTAAGAATAGTTAAAAGAAAAAAATATATAGTTAAAACCAAGTGAATTATTAATTTTCTAGAGAAAGAAAAATTAGAGTGAGATGTTACATTCTAGATTAAAGTAAGCCAAATTAAATACCATTTACCATATATACAGATATATGCATGGCCAACACGGCCTAAACACTGGCACAGCTATAATAAGCAAAGAAACATTTTTCACAGCAATCAAAGAAAACACATGGTCAAAAAAGGGTGAAATTTTAAAATATAAATTGGTTAAAATTCAGGTTTAAAAAATTCAGGGTTAAAATTAGTTATATTGCTCTGTACCTGAGCAAGAGTCTCTTCAAGTTTCACTTCCTTGCCCTGTCCTGCTATGAGGCTATTTCAGAAGAGCCACCTGACCCACAATAACTCCTTAACCTCACACATTCAGAGGCAAATTTGCACCATTTCCTCCTCTGGATGTAATTTCTGTGCCACAGAGGGCAACTTAGTGGTGGTTAACCACAGTCCCAGCAGATTGCATAAACACAACCTGAACACGGCCACTCGGGCACAGGGGGAGTTCTGCAGGCAGCACCCCTCCATTTAATAGCTGCATCTTTGTTTTTACAGGAAAAAACAAACACTCATGGGCCCCATCCACTCAGGAAAGTGTTTCCTGCTCAGATCCAGAAGTGTCACCTCGGGTGGGGAAATTTCCATTATTAAAATGGTTGCAGTGGCCCAGACCAGGTGTCCTTGGGTTCTGCCCCTGTCCCTGCCCAGATGCCTAAAGGAGAATCAAGATCATGGCAGGGGGGAAGGCCTTTGAGGCACAGGAATCTTTTGGACCAGAGGATGCATCTTCCTCCTTATTAAAAAGAAATCAAGAGCCATTAGCTCTTACTGCACCTTGATCTCATCCACCCGACGTGAGCACTTGCTCATGACATCTGTTTTGAAAAGCCAAAAAAGCATCCTCAGACCTAAATACAATTTTGGTCCCAAAACCAGCAAAAAGTTTGTGTCTTGGAGTGACTCAAACTGAAGCAGTTTGGCAGGAGGTGTCACTGCTCTGGTAATGTCACAGGAAATAAGTGCTGCAACTGAGGAGTCAAAAAGAAATATATTCCCAGGGACTTTAGCCAAGCTCAGGAAGCTTGCTTCTATTTTAAAATATCAGCTTGCTTTTCCAAGCCACCTGCAAAATTCTCTGGATGAATCCTGGCCCTTAAACACCCACAAGAATGTTCAGTTTGGGTATTATGAAGGCCAGATCCTTTTTCCAGGATGGAGAAGATGCTGCAGTGGGGGCTGGAGGCGTCCTGGAGAGCTCAGACCATCAATGCAGGGACACTGTACAGGACACCAGTGCAGTCCAGCCCCCACTGCAGGTGCTTTGTGTCCTTTTTTGCAGCATTTTTGGACACTTTTGGCTTGTTCCACTTGCAGTGGGGATGCAAACACAGCTGGCAGGCAGCCAAGGGCATCCTGTCTGACAGGCAGGGAAAAGAGCAGTGCCCTGAGGCACTCCCTCCTTCTCTCTCATCTTGGTAGTATTTTTTTCCCAAACATTCAGCTTAAAAGCCTTCTCCTCCTCCTGTCTCTGTCCTCCCTTCACCTGCTGAGTGCCAGCCATCCTTCTCTGGATTTCTCTCCAATGCTAATAGACTCTTCTTCTAATGCTCCCTCTATTCCTACAATAGCACCATGTTCCTTTTATCCCTGATGCTAATGGGCATACTTAACTTATTTCAGAACGGCCTCATGAATCAGCAATTTTATCCTACTTGCTCTATTCCAAACCCCAGATCTCAGCACAGATAAGCAATTGTCCACAACAGGATGAATCAGAGCAACCTGACCCTGTGTAAATCTGTGTGCTTCATTGTGCTGAACAGGAATAAAACCCAGCTCGGATTCCTCTTATCTTCATAAACAAAGTAATGAGGAAATTTCTTCCTTAGCCTCTTCTTAGGACTTCCTTAGGCTTCTGCCAGGACTCCAAAAGTCCAGTTCTCCAAGAAATTCTGTGCCCCCAAACTAAATTATTTATTACATCCTCTTTTACAAGTAGTACTGCTGGTTGTTTTTCCTCATCTCAATGCAAAAGAGAAATAAAACTGAAAATGGTATTTCAGATAGAATGAGGATCTTGCTCTTCTCCCTTGGAAACAGTCTCAAGATACATGAAGGAAGAAGTAAAATAGCACCGAAGAGAAGTGATAATTATGCAAGTTTAAAAAAAAAATTCAAAATGGGAAAAATTGCCAATAAAGATATTCCAATACCACTCCTAAATATTTGACTGCTGCTCAGTCCTGATGATATCACTGTAGGATGAGAAGCACTGTAGGATGTTACATTGCAGATGGTTTTTTGTCCAATTTAAAGCTGAGGGAGCACTTGGAGCAGGTGAGCGTGGTGCTCATGCTTTGCCCTTTTGTTTCATTCTTCCTCTTGGCACAGTCACTTTTTGGTGTTTGGAACTTTATACTCCTCCACCAGTTGAACTAAGTCTTTGCATTCATGTGTGTCTGTTCAAGCATCAAGTCTGGTACTTTGGGAGGAAAAAAATCTTCCTGGGCAAAGGAACACAAATCCAACTGTGGGGCCCTCATGCTGGCAAATCCTTTGTCAATAACTACTTGGCTTTAAAAGTGCTGATTATACACAGAAATGTTTGTGGGACCAGGGCCAGTGGCTGCGTTTTTAATTACTTACCTGTGCCTCACGGATCTTCTGTTTTTCAGCATTTTATCCGAGCAGGACAGCGAGGAGAATGCTGCCCTGGCTTTGTCCTAACTGCTCCTGCTCTTTATGTGGGGATGCCAAAATATTCCCCCGTGTAAAACATCCATTAAACCGGGCAAGTCGCATTGCTCATGACCACGTTTGCACCCCCAAATCAATCCACGATACCCGCTTTGCCAGGGGAAGGACACGGCAGCCCGGAGCTGGGGACATCCCTGGACAGGGAGTCTGGATTGTGATCCCGGTTTCCAGGCAGGGTCACACCTGCATCTATCCCCCTCTCCTCTCCCTCTCCCCACCCAGCGGAGAGTTTGGGAAAGTTGGAACGGCGGCTCCGAGGGCACATCCAGGGTTGGAGGGAGAGAAGGGAGAAAAGGGAGAAGAGGAGGGAGAGAAGGGAGAGGAGAAGGGAGAGAAGGAAGGGAGAGGAGAAGGGGGAGAAAGGAGAGAAGA